ATATATATATTATTTTTATTTTGATATATAACTTTAAAAATATTTTGTAAAGATAATAGTGAAAATGTATTTTTTAAGATATAAATAGTCAATTTTAGTAAAATTTATTTAATTTTTTTTAAATTTTTGGTGGGCTGGTGGGCTGGCTCGTATAACCCACCAACCCGTGGTGGGCCGGGCCAGGCCAAATTTTTTTTGAGAAAATTAAAAGCGGGCCGGGTTGGGTTGGCCTGTTTTTAAAGTGGGTCAAGGTGGGCTAGCTCACATGGGCCGGGCTGGCCCGTTTTGACAGCTCTAATGTAAAGCCCAAGTAAAGAGAACCTTAGGCCCACCAAATCCATTGGGCTCACTAAGCTCAAAAGCAATCAAAAGTCCAAAGGCCCATGAAGCCCAAAACTAGGCCCAATAAGCTTAAAACCCAAAAAGTCTTATACTAAGGCCCATAATACAAGACCAAAACAAAAGCCCAAAGGCCCATGAAGTCCAAAACTAGGTTAGTGAGCCCAATCGATTTGATGGGCCTAAGGTTCTCTTTACTTTGGCTTTAATAGGATGACCACCTTTCTCATATATTTGGTAGTATAGGAGTTTATATTGTTTGGTCTTGTATTATGGGCCTTAGTATAAGAGTTTTTGGATTTTAAGCTTATTGGGCCTAGTTTTGGACTTCACGGGCCTTTGAACTTTTGTTTGCTTCTGAGCTTAGTGAGCCCAATGGATTTGGTGGGCCTAAGGTTCTCTTTATTTGGACTTTACATGGATGACCATCTTTCTCATATATTTGGTAGTATAGGAGTTTATATTGTTTGGTCTTGTATTATGGGCCTTAGTATAAGACTTTTTGGATTTTAAGCTTATTGGGCCTAGTTTTGGGCTTCATGGGCCTTTGGACTTTTGATTGCTTTTGAGCTTAGTGAGCCCAATGGGTTTGGTGGGCCTAAGGTTCTCTTTACTTGGGCTTTACATAGATGACCACCTTTCTCATATATTTGGTAGTATAGGAGTTTATATTGTTTGGTCTTGTATTATGGGCCTTAGTATAAGACTTTTTGGGTTTTAAGCTTATTGGGCCTAGTTTTGGGCTTCATGGGCCTTTGGACTTTTGATTGCTTTTGAGCTTAGTGAGCCCAATGGATTTGGTGGGCCTAAGGTTCTCTTTAATTGGGCTTTACATAGATGACCAACTTTCTCATATATTTGGTAGTATCGGAGTTTATATTGTTTGGTCTTGTATTATGGGCCTAAGTATAAGACTTTTTGGGTTTTAAGCTTATTGGGCCTAGTTTTGGACTTCATGGGCCTTTGAGCTTTTGACTGCTTCTGAGCTTAGTGAGCCCAATGAATTTGGTGGGCCTAGGGTTCACTTTACTTGAACTTTACATGGATGATCGTCTTTCTCATATATTTGGTAGTATAAGAATTTATATTGTTTGGTCTTGTATTATGGATCTTAGTATAAGACTTTTTGGGTTTTAAGCTTATTAGGCATAGTTTTGAGCTTCATTCATAAGATGCTTGATGTCATTGAGGAAGGGGCTTCATATCTCACTCAATTGAAAAACTATACTTAAATTTTAAATGTAACTTAGTAGAATGAAAAAAAAAATTATTTTGCTTAAAAAAAAAGTGCTTATGTCAAATATGTGGTTAGAACGGGTCGTTCCGAATTCAGAACGGCCCGTTTTGATTTCGGAACGGCCCGTTCTGGTCCAGTTATCACGTGTTTTTTTTCTTCTAGAACGGCCCGTTCTGGTTCATTATTCATGTGTTATTTTTTTATCTAGAACGGGCTGTTCTGATTTCAGAACGGCCCGTTCCGAAAGTGACTGCAGCTGCGTCAGTGCATCGTAAAAAGGGATTTTTTTTTTGGGTAATTTAAAAAAAAATTTCAGTAAAAATTTCAGAAATATTAATCCTGTGTGAAGGTGTACAATATATTCTTACTCATTAAAGCACAATCTCAACCATTCATTATTTTTAATATTATATCTATGATAATTTTTCATTCATCACCTATGGACCACTTGTCAAATTTTACTATCTGAGACATCACCAAGTATGTCATACATAGATTTTGCTATATTTCATTAATCATACGCAATGGACAAGCAGGTTGATACTAGATTTCTGTGCCAATTGACTCTGAGCACCTTTATAATATATATATATATATATATAGTGACATGCAGGCATGTGTGTATGAATTTTGAGGTGTTGGTTATCTTTGATTAAAATGAGCAGTATTCAAATTGCTGCAATTAATCATGGGATTAACGTCCCAAAAGTATCTCAGTTGAGACACAGTTTTCATTGTGGACCATGTTTACTGCCTATGCGTTTTGACCCTCTCTTTGTGAGTTCTCTGAGCCTGAGAACTGAACATTCTTCTCGGCAATCTCTCCATGTTTGTTTCGCCGGTGGACAGGGAATGATGGAAAATAATGGGGTAATGCACCTTTGCTTGTGTTGCACTATACTGTTTTGCTTTTATCAGATATTTGTTATGTTTTAAATGTTTAAGTGTGTTTGTTTGGTTTGTAGTTATAATTTTTAAGACACCTCAACGAAAAGTTTGTGTCTTGTTGCATTGGGTCAAACTAACGTTTTTTACATTTCAAACGTAAAACCAAACACTTTAAGTTGTCAAGTTTGTGTTCTTACATGTGAGAATAATTTTTTGTCATTACTAATGTTGTGTTGTGAAGCATTGGGACCATTATGAGCATGTTTGGGAAAGATTCTATCCCAACATTTCAATTTTATACTTGGAACAACAACTAAAATTTGCTAAATGTTTTTATTTCCTGAAATATAAATGTTTACAGAGTATATGAAAATTTGAAAACTTATTATTTTTCCACGATTTTATTTTTCTTCTAAAGCTGATTTGGTAGGTTAAAGTTACTTTTATTTTGTTGTATTCAAATCAAATTAAACATTTCAAAATAATTTTTTAGGAGACTTGTCCAAACGAAAATTCATTATGATGATAATTGTGATTATGAAAAAAAATGATTTTCATAGTTGTTCCAAACATGCTCCTAGGTAGAGAAGTGGGGGGTTAGTTTATTTTTTCTGAGGCCCTGTTTCTTTGAATAACTCTGAAGTTTTCTTCGTAATATGAACCTTTGCTAAGTGTGTTATGAGGGATGGAAATAGAGGGATTGGAGTTGCTTTGATGCTGTTGATTTGTATTTGTGGTTTCAAATTTTGGATTTGAATTTGAATTATTCTTCAATTTCTAAATACTAACAACATAATTAGGATTTCCAGAGGAAATCTCTTCAGGAAGCTATGGGACAATTGAAGGGACAGTCATTAGAGGATATGTTGCGAGAGCAAATGCAAAAGGGAGGAAGTGGGGGCAGTCCTCCAGGAGGACGAGGTGGCAGTGGTGGTGGGGGAAGCTCCAGTGGGTCAGATGGGATGTCAAACGAATCTCTTCAAATTGTTTTAGCAACAGCTAGCTTTATATTGATGGTAAACTCTCTCTCTCTCTCTCTCTCTCTCGTTACATGAATTATGTGTACTGTGTATGCACAAGTGATTCTCCATCCACTTACTCATGAGTCTCAAGATTTCTTTGCTGTGTGAGAAATGAAGGAAAAGCTTGAATTGATGTTGCTAAGCTAACAATGTATTGAAGTGTGTGAGATTCTGTTACTTAATGAAAAATGAATCTATATATAACTTGCATTACAATAAACAACTAGTACCAAGAACACTTTTTGAAGTATTTAGAATGCATGAGGTCGTTGAGCTATATGCTAAATTTTTTATGATATTTATTTATGAGGTGTTGGTGTTGTTAGAATTTTCTTTTTTCCTGTCAAGCAATTGTAACAAATGAGGTACTATTTCAGGCTATGGGCCAAGGAAAATCAATACATCATCATTCAGTAATATTTTGTCTCTTTCTCTAAAAATTCTCTCTGCAATATATTTATGTTCCTTACAACAGTTTCCATTCTTACATTGGAGTCTCTATTCCGAGCAAGGATAATTCTCGGTATACATTCCTGAATATCCAAACGGTCCCAATTGGTATCAGTGACATAGGCGGTTCATTAGTGATGGCTGGTGCGACTTGACACCAGGTTACGTTGGCTGATCTCGAGAAGAAGCAAGAAGAGTTTAATGTTTGATTAGAGCAAATCTGTGCGAGTACCGACGGTGGTTCCTCTTCGAACAAGAATGGCAACAACCGTAACTCCTACTGTACTCGCATCTCTAAAGTGGATTTTCCTCGGTTTGATGGTAAGAATATGAAAGTATGGTTGTACAAGTGCACACAATTCTTTTCTTTGGATGGGACGATTGAAGATTCTACGGTTCGTTTAGCCTCGATATATCTTAATGGAATTGCCTTACAATGGAATCTCAACTACATGCACAATAAGTTTGATATCTATCCTTTTTGGTCTCAATACACTTCTAACATAGCTCAACGATTTGGTGAGGTTTATGATGACCCACTCGCTGCTCTCATTCAAGTGAAGCACATAGGCAAGGTCCAGACATATGTAGATGATTTTGAGCTCGTGTTAACTCAAGTAGCCTTACTCCCTGAACACTCTTTGAGCATTTTTTTAGCTGGTTTGGAACACGAAACCTAGATGAAGGTCAGGATGTTAACCCCACTTCCATTTCTCATGCCACTCACCTTGCAAAATTGCATGAAGCTTCCAAAGCTCCTATCCATAAGCATGATGGTCGTATTCAGGTTCCTTCCACTAAATTCACAAATCCCCCTCCTAAGCCTCCCTTTACCACAAGTGCACCTCCACCAAGTTCAAACCCTCGACCTTTGCTAAATAGAATTCCCAGAACCTTTAATGCTATAGAGATGGCTGAGAGAAGGGCCAAAGGAATCTGTATGTTTTGTGATGAGCCTTTTACACCAGGTCATCAATTAAAACACAAAAGATCACAAGTTTTAGTGATGGAGTTGGATGAGGATGATCCTAATGAGGCAGGTGGCAATGCAGAAACTGAGTTGTTAGTGGATATTGTGGATAGTATTACAGTTGAGACTCCTAAACTCTCTTTGAATGCTATGACTGGAAATTCTAGTTTACACGCTATGAAAGTGTCTGGATTGCACAATAAAACAATGTTGCACGCGGATGTTGTAAGGCTGATTCCCTTTCAAGACTTACTGGAGCTGAACTATTGCCGTTGTTGTTAGAAAATGCTCAACATGGATTGTTAGACCAAATTAAAGTTGTTTGGCTTTCTGACTCTACATTGCAGCAAATTATTTCTTATTTAAAATAGAATCCTTCCTCTCATCCTAACTTCACATGGCATAGAGAGGAGTTGAGAAGAAAAGGTAAGTTGGTTATTGGTGAGGATTTAGCACTAAAAGATGTTATTCTCAAGTGGTTGCATGCTTCCCCATTGTGAGGCCATTTTGGAAGAGATGTAACAGAAGCTAGAGTTAAATCTTTATTCTTTTGGAAAGGCATGCTCAAGGACATATTAACAATATGTCAGAAAATGCGATCTCTGTCAAAAATGTAAACCAAATTTGGCTGCTTATCCAGGTCTCTTACAACCTTTTCCAATCCCTAACAGAATTTGGAATGTTATTAGCATGGATTTTATTTAGGGCTTTCCTTCTTCTGTTGGACAGCAAGTTATCTTAGTCGTCGTGGATCGATTGAGAAAGTATGCACAGTTTTTACCCTTGTCACATCCTTACACCGCACTTGAGGCTGCTCAAGTTTTCCTTGATAACATTTTTAAATTGCATGGCATGACTATTTCCATCACAAGTGACAGAGATCCCATTTTCCTTAGTAAGGTTTGGAGTGATCTCTTTCAACTCCAAGTGGTGGCATTGAACAAGTCCACAACTACCATCCTCAATCTGATGGTCAAACTGAAATTGTCAATAAATGCCTTGAAACTTATCTTCGTTGCATGTGTTCTAAAAAACCTTCTTCTTGGCTTTCTCTAGCTGAATGGTGGTACAATACAAATTTTCACACTGCCATCCAAACTACCCCATATGAAGTAGTTTATGGTCAAGCTCCTCCTATCCATCTTCCTTATTTGCCTAATAAATCTACTAATACTGCAGTTGACAGATCTTTAACGGCTAGAGAGGCTGTTATTAAACTCTTGTAATTTCACTTGTTGCGTGCTCAGAATCGCATGACCTAGCAAGCTAACAAGCATCGTAGTGACAGAGTATTCTCTATTGGGGATTTTGTTTATTTGAAGCTACAACCTTATCAACAACATTCCATGCGTCATAGTACTTTCCATAAGCTTTTACCAAAGTATTATGGCCCATTTAAGGTTTTGGATCGTATTGGACAAACTGTGTATCAGTTAGAGTTACCTACTACAACTGCAATTCATAATGTTTTTCATGTTTCACAACTGAAGCTTTGCATGGATCCTAGTACTAGCCCCATTCATCCTTTGCCAATTGATGGTAATGCCTTTAGTACAAAAGGGGAGTCAGAGGCAATTTTAGACCGAAAGATGGTGAAGTAGGGCCGCATAGTTGCTACAGAAGTGTTGGTTAAGTGGAGGATTTTGCCTCACTATCAGGCTTCCTGGGAGTTTTACTATGATCTACTTCACAAGTTCCCTCATTTCCACCCTTAAGGTCAACAGTGTGCTTATAGGGGCGGGTATTGTCACAGTATATACGTGACACTTAATAATACATCGTATATGTTTTATTTCATTTCCAATTTTATGTAATAGATGATGACTAATGAATGGTGAGGTGTCATTAAGGTTGTTAGAATTTGTTTTTTTACTGTCAGACAATCGTAACAAATGAGGTACTATTTCAGCCTGTGGGCCAAGGAAAATCAATACATCATCATTCAGTAATATTTTATCTCCTTCTCTAAAAATTCTCTCAGCAATATTTCTGCTCCTTATAACGATTTCCATTCTTACATTGGAATCCTGTTCCAAGCAAGGATAATTCTCAATATACATCCTTGAATATCCAAACGGTCCCAAAATTATACATTTATGATGAATCGTAAAGACTTGGAGAAAGATGAATCGGAAGATAATTCTTTTCAAGATTTATTGTTCCATTTTATAAAATAAAGAAGGCAAAGAATTACGATTTATAGGTAAGCCATAACCAACTAAAAGATAAAACTAATAAGCTGTTATATCTTCTCATAACATATAACAGTAAGTTGTTATGATATGATAAATAAGTATATTCTAATACTGATAAGCATATATATCCTAATAATAATAATGATAAGAATATGTCCTAATATTTTTCCTACTACCTTTAAATATTGTGTGTGCCTTATAAATATGAATATTGCAAGTCTCAATAATATTAAATATTGTATATTTTCCACTCTTCTGTAGCTAGGAGGAATATTATACTTGTTATCATTCCATATAAGGGTAAATATATATCGTACACTTTTTTAATTCCATATATGAATGAATTCCCATTCTTTATAAGAATTAATTAGGAATGCATGTTATACTATTTCTCATTCTCTATAAGAATTAATTAGGAAGGAATTTTATACGGTTTCTTATAGAAATTAATTAAGAATGCTGTAATGTACCTGGTGCAAGGTTAATAGCGTGACAGTAAGGACATGTCACACTTGCAGCACGACGCGGGTACACTAGAAATGTCCTACAGCCTCCACAATGAAGTTGTGACATTTCCATTCCTGCAAAGGCATCAGAAAATTAAAGGTCCCTCAATATGTAATTCATTTAAGCTTGCACCATTTAATCCAATGTGAAACCAAATGAACATTCTAAACATGTTGTAACAAGAAAATATCTGAAATCTTTAAAAGAAAGCATACGAGGAGGAGGAACAGAATTGATGGTGTTGCAAATTGCACAGCAAACATTAGATGCTCCCAAAGGGTAAACAAGGATGTTCCTACACCCGTTACACACGCTCCTCATAACTGCAAAGACACATGCACACACATTAGTTACTCTTAAACAATTTTAATCCCTAACACAAATCATAGAATATGTAACATTTGAGAAGGGTAGAAGAATAAGAATACCTGTGTCGTGCAGTGGAATATGTTGAAGGAGAATGTTGATGAGAGGAATCGTTGAGATTAATTAGAAAGTTTGAATTCTGAACTTGCAACCTCCAATTGTTATCAATATTTAATTTGGCCTACAAATTCAAGTCTCGTTTCTATATATACCTTCGTTCTGTACGCGAATTAGGAAATTTTACCTCCAATTTTTTCATTTAGGTGGTCTAATTAATTAACCCAACAATTTCTCTTATTTCATTTGTTGAATTTACACCGCCATATTTTGTCAACTACCAAAATTTAAATTTTAAAAAATAGAAAATCATAGAGGAAAAGGAAACAGTCTAATTCCATTTTCAATATTTATATTTTAATTTATATGTAATTTTAACAATTTTATTTTAACTACTTGGATTGAATTTATGTGATTTAAATTAAGTTTATTGTCATTATTCATTTTAGTATTCAGTGAAAGTATAATAAAAATACAATATATTGCATAAAGTGATAAAAAAAATACCAAATTTAAATTTTAAAAAAAAAGTTAATTGAAACGATGTCTAGATTTTTTATATTTTCATTTATATATAGATTAACATTGTATAATGAATTTATTGATTTTTTTAATATATAACTAAACAAAAAAATAGACTTTATTGGCGGATAAAAAAATGACTTTATTGACTTTTATGTATAATAATTACAGTGAAAATTATATCTAAAATAATTTGTTTTTTTTTTATTAATTTAAGGTATAAAAATCATTACATACATAATTTATGAAACTAAAAATCAACATAAAATATATAAAATAAAATGATAATATTTTTATTTTATTTTATTATTTGATATTTTCTTATATAATTAAGTTAAACATTTTTCTAGTCCTACAAAAATTTATTTATTTATTTATTTCTTATAACTTTTTTACTCACTTTTAAGTGCATAAATCTAAACATATCATTGTATAAGTTTCAAACATATTCGTGGGTAACTGTTACGAGTATTTTTTTACATGTTTATAAATAGGGCGGGAGTGGGTATGGTATCGGTACCCACTAAGTGTTCCTGCTATGAACACTCTTTCTCTCCTTCCTCTTGACTAGTCTCTTAAGTTTCAAGTGTTGGCTGAGTCCTGTCTTCGAGTAATGGGAAGGGTATCTGTAAAGGCACTCTGACGCTTAAGTGAGTATTCAGTATAGAGCAATAAAGGCTACTGTATTAAATAATCATATCTATCCCTTCAGTCCCATCAATACCATATTTATAGTGACATTCTTGGGCCTGGTGGGCTTTTTGGATTATTGGGCTAGTGCACAAGGTTTTGCACACTAATTCTAGCTGATGTGGATGTGTTTAATGTAATTAACACTTGTTTTACTTTACCTCATGGATATTCGTTATAGTTGAATACCCATTCGGTAGGTTCACCGGTCGAGGGGGTATGCGGCATGTTAGGGTGTTCGGCATATCCATTGGTTGAGGGGGTGTTCGGCCTGTTCATTTGCCTGAAGGGGTATTTGGCCTATTCATTGGCCTGAAGGGGTGCTCGGTCTATTCATTGGTTGAAGGGGTGTTCAGCCTACTCATTGGCCTGAGGGGTACTCAGCCTGTTCATTGGCCTGAGGGATACCCGGCCTATTCATTGGCCTAAGGGGTACTCGGCCTATTCTTTGGTCGAAGGAGTGTTCGACCTACTCATTGGCTTGAGGGGTACTTAGCCTATTCATTGGCCTGAGGGGTACTCGACCTGTTCATTGGCCTGAGGGGTATTCAGCCTGTTCATTGGCCTGAGGGGTACTCACCCTATTCATTGGCTTGAGGGGTACTCACCCTATTCATTGACCTGATGGGTACTCGACCTGTTCATTGGCTTGAGGGGTGCTCGACTTGTTCTTTGGCCGAAGGGGTGTTCGGCCTGTTCATTGGCTGAAGGAGTTTTCGACATAACCTGTACACTGCCCCCCTAAGCCCAGGATGCAAGACGAAGGAGTTTGGTGTAGAGACTCGTTGGTTGTTTGGGCGATGTGATGGCCGGGACCAAAGGGTGGTAAAGTTTGGGGGTGTCTCTTCATCTCCTAGGGCTAAGGTGTACAAGTGCCTTAATTGTTGGGATTCATGCTGAGATGAAAGGTGACGCAGTGGTAGTCATTGGATGAAGTAGATCCAACGGTGCTTACTAGGGGTGTGACCCTTCATTTCTTAGTTGTTGAGGTCTATATAAAGGGGGTCCAATTGGTGAATATACATGTTCATTTTGTCTGTACCAAAAAGGGTGTTACCGTTTATATTGTATACTTTGAGGTACGTTTATGTGCATGGTGTTGAGTCGTCGGTCGGTCAAATCTCTCGAGGTAATTCTTGGAATGGCCTCTATCAATGAGGTGCTTGTGTCCAGGGGCTCTTCGTCTGGCTCTAAAGGTTCGGGCATTAGCCGAAAGGGTGTTGCGTTCGAGTCCGAGTCGCAACGCTTTTCCAACGAGGGGACTTCTAATGCCACTAACTCTTCCAGGTCTACACTTCTGGATGCCAAAATGGAGGCTCAGGATTATCGGTAGAAGTTTTCCTCTTGTGAAATTGTCAGGTATGAATGGGTGGACGGGGAGGTTATAGCGTACTTCTCGCGTTTTTATCAGAGAAACATTGTTGAAGGGTTAATGAAGTGATGCACCTAGCCCTATGGGAGGATCAATACCCTTATCCGGTCATGTTAAGATGTTGTAAGGCCGATGGCCGGCGGATGCCGACCTGGTGTTTTTTGAAAAGAAAGATAACCAAGGGGATTTTTTCTTTGTGTATGAGTGCATGTTTAAAGAACTCAGTGTCACCTTGCCTTTTGATGATTTTCAAATGGGTGTCTTAAGAGTGCTAAATGTAGCTCCTACTCAGCTTTATCCGAATGGGTGGGCGGTGATGCAGGCCTTCCGAGTACTTTGTAAATATCATTATATTGAACCTAGTGTAGGGTTATTCTTGCATTTCTTTTGCACTCGATCATCTAATAAGACCGTGAAGTGGATTTCATTGATAAGGCACGTGGATTGGCCATTGTTCAAGCCCTTCACTTCCTCTTTCAAGGGGTTCAAGTCAGGTTTTTCCAAATTCATGATTGATCTGGTGGCCTATCGGAACTGGTTTTATGACTTTGAAGGCACACCTTTTTTTTCCCTTTTACTAGACGAGTGTGCCTCGAAAGTATGATGAGTATCCGGTTGAGATGCTCAATCCGAATGAGGTGTCGGCCTTGGAGTACTTGTTAACATTGTCCCGAGGGATTCTAGCTCGATTTTTAGTCTTATTGCTGAAGTCTCCTAGGCCTTGGTTTGATCTAAACGGTATGTATTGCCTAAAACTTGATTTATTTTCACTTGAGTTGATTTGTGATTGGTGCTTTGTTGCAGGTCTCATGGCTCAAAGAGGAATGCCACTGTCTTATCGTCAAGCTGTCCGGAATCAGGCTCTTCCTAATACTACGACTGAGGGGCATTGCAACGTGGTGATTGACCAAGAACCAAGCACTAACGTGGCCCGTCCTCCTCCTCGGGACCTTTTTCCCCTAGAGTCTCATTCAAAGAAGAAAGACAAGGGGAAGAGAAAATAGTCTGAACCCTCGCGTCGGGGGTTCAAGTGCTCAAGGAGAAGTGTCCTGGGGGCACAAGAGTAAGCGGACAGAGAGTCCACCTTCCAACCTCGCCATCCCCTCGCCCATTGTGCATCGGGATTTTTTTGGCCTCGAGAGTTCGCCCCACCCGGATGATGTTGGCCGATGTCCTTTCTAACGAGGGTCGTCGATTACTAGTTTCGGCTAGCCCAGCGGCCTAGTGGGCTATTGCTTGTGAACTGCAAGTTCGAGCCAGTGCCATCCTTCATCAATTGGCTTGGGAATTACCGAGACAAAAGAATTGAAGAGTTCTTTGGAGGAGGCAAGGAAGTCGCTCCATGAGTCGACCGGCGCTCTCGAGGTCAATTTGGCTGAGAAAGCAAGGTTGGAGGCCGAGGTGGCCAAGTTGAAAGAGAATGTTAAAGATATGGAGGGCAAAGTTGTGGCTGCTGATGGGGCTGAGTGGATGCGGCTGGAAGAGTTGAAGGAGGCGCTGGCTCGAGAGTCACAAGTGAAGGCTGAGGCCGAGGCGAATATGGCCATGTTCCGAAAAGAATGCGAGGACAAGATTGTTCTTGAGCACGAGGCCGGGTTCATGCATGTCGTGTGGCAGGCTTCGTATTTTTTCCAACCAAATTTCAGTTTGATGTGAGCAAGGACTTCTATCAGGGGGCAATATGGATTATAATGACATGCTTGAAAATGTCAAGCCTGACGAGCATGCTCCCTTTTGGTCGGCTGCACATGAGGATCCGGGCACGACCATCCAAGATGATAAAGACGAAGATACTCAAGTGGGGGATGGGAACACGATTTCTTAGGGTTAAGTTGTTTGATTGCCCCTCGTTTTTATTGTATAGGGCGAACGGCCTTGTTTACTTTGTTATTTTTGGAAGGGCATTCTTTTTGTACCTAGGGCCAGCAGTGCCTGAGTGGTTTGATGACCTTTTTGTATCTAGGGCCGATAGTGCCCGGTTTATTAATGAACTTCGGCTAATATATGATGTTTTCTATTAATCTTAGTCGTAATGGATTGTTGAAATTGGTTACTCACTGTGTATCGTTGTTATGACGTTGCTTGAATTCGATGTCATAAATTGGTCTTCGTGTGCTGAACTGCGTGCTCAGGATGGATTTCTATTTTCATCCTTAGTCTGGTAAGTAAGCTCGGGAGGGCACAGGTGGTTCATCCTTGGCCGAGCAATGGTGCTCGAGAGGGAATGATTTTGCATCCTTGGCTGAGCAGTGGTGCTCGGGAGGGAATGGTTATTCATCCTTAGCCAAGTGAATATACTTGGGAGGGAACTTTAATAATCCTTGGTTGGGTAGTGGTGCTCGGGAGGGAATGGTTATTCATCCTTAGCTAAGTGAATATACTTAGGAGGGAACTTTAATCATCCTTGGTCGAGCAGTGGTGCTCGGGAGGGAATGGTTTTGCGTCCTTGGCCGAGTAGTGGTGCTCGGTAGGGAATGGTTATTCGTCCTAAGCCAAGTGAAT